TGCAAATTTCTCTTTTGCACTTTATTTTAGTTGATTATGCATGAGTTTGCCCCACTTACCAAGGCTCTTGCCTCGAAGAAGAGAATAGCCTTGGCTCCTTATGTTTTAGGCCATGTTTTTAAAGCTTGCCCTTAATTTTACGAGAAACCTCTAGATGTTAACCAAGGAGGCCCTCTATGAGTATTATAACTCTAGCTCTTCGCATATTTCACTGGTCTACATTCCAAGTGCTTGAGATTTTTAGTGCAAGAACCCACTACTTATGGAGAGAAATTTGCCAAGATTTCTTTATATCCCTCCAGCTTTGTCTACTATTTTACTTTTTTTCATCAACTCCCAATTTCTCCACTTCCTTCATTCTTTTGCCCCTTCGAAACTAATACAGGACCAGCCTGGCTCAGGGCATTTTTGGCTAATAGGGAGTGCTCTAATTCATTACACAAGGATATATGGGCTTCTATCCTATTGCCAAGGGAGCTCTTCATTGGTACTTTGAATCTTCGAGCTTACAAATGTATATTTGAAGTTTACTGTCCTTCCCAATTTGCCAGACAATTTGGGCTCACTCAAAGAATCCCTGTCCCTTTCTGTAGCCTCTCCAATACCAATCTCACAGTCAGAGACTTGAAGGTATCCAAAAACAAATTAGAAGAAGCAACATTCAAATTGCTACAAGAGTTGAGCGAGTTTCAATTCACCCTCTTTACCCTACATGGCACAGCTTTGAAAAGATTTCAAAATTGGTAAACAACCAATATAGAGGTGCTCCTTGTAATACCTCCCAAAGATCTTCTAGTGGGACTAGATGTGCCCACTCAAGCCAAACCCAAAAAGACTGGGACCAGTATTATAGTCTCTACTGCTCCTGCTATCCCAGCTCTTGCTCCTGCTGTCACAGAGACTACTCTTGCTGCCTCTTCTCCTTCTCCTAAAGTCACCAGGGCTACTTCGAAGAGAGGCACATATTTCCATTTTTTCCCCTTCTCTTCTCTCTATGATGTTTATAATGCCTTATTCGTCTACTTTATGGTTTTCTTTTTTAATGCAGGAGCTTTACAGATAGAATCTCCTTACAGAGTTCAGGCTTTGAATGTCTTCAAAGGCAAGTAACAACAACAGAGGAAAAGAAGACTTTTGCTTGATCCTGGGGAGGAGACACCTGAAACTCACTTGGAAGAAGAAGAAATAGAAAAAGAGAAAGAGATACCATTGAAAAGAAGGAAGAAAATGACAGTTTCTCCCTCTAATCTTATTGGGGACTCCACTCATGAAGCAACTACCATAGTAGTGGAAGAGGAGCACTCCAAAGAAATCATTGCATTTTAGAGGTCTGAGAAAAGGAGACAGTAACAAGTACTAAGGGATAAAGCTGCTGCTGCTGATGCACTCCAAACAGAAGCTGCAATGATGCAACAAACTGCTGAACATTATGCCCATCGCAGTTCTCCAGCCATTGTTACCACTTTTGAAACTTGTAATTTCCTTTTATGTCTCTAGTAACTTCCTTTCCCAAGTTTTCAGTAATGAAACCGAACATTGCTTCATATTTCTTATTGTACAACAATAGCTATTCTATCTCCTCCTTCGATAAGGATTTCTTCAGTTTTATCTGAAGTTGAAAGACCATTAGAAGCACCCTAAAAAAGGAGGAAGAAAATCGACACTAAAGTGGCTTTAAGTGTAAAGCCAATCCAGACAATACTTCTACTTCCTGGTTCTACACTTTTCATACCTTTTTTTGAGGCAAAGCATTCCTATATCTTTATCCTTTGGCTTAACTCCATATCTTCCTCATCTAATCTTTACCTTAGCCCAATTTGCTCTCTTTACAATCTTGGCTGCTCCTTCCCCATCTAAGGAGATCTTAGTTATCACTTTATCTTCAATGATAGCTGATACTCCCAAAGAAGATACTAGTAGCTCACCAATTCTTTGTCCATCATCATTACCTAGCTCCAGTCCTTCTTCTCTTGACTTACTGGTGGCCAAGACTGTAGACACTGCTAGGGACACTTCATCATCCTCTCTTATCCCTATGCAGCCATCCTTTCCTTCCACTAGAGACCTTTCTGCACCTCCAATGTCAATAGAAGAGATGAACATTTTTGAAGCTAGGCTGGCTAGCCTTTTTGACATACCTTCTGCCATTCCATCAGCTAGTAATGAAGCTGAGCCATTGGTTCTGGCTGACTCTTTGTTGAAAATTCTTGAGAGCTCTTCAACCATCAGTAGAGCTTCTTTACCTCCACTGGACTTGGGTACCTATTTGAAATTGCTAACATCATTCTCAAGGATTCCATTCGTAGTCATACAAAGACCTATTATCAAGAATGGTTACCTCTGCTGCTGTAAGGTCATTGAGCAATCCAATCTGGCTATTTCAAGTCACTTGTCTCAGGTAACAGCTACCATAGATTTTTATGTCAACATTTGCCTTATTGCCAAAGCTATAGAGGAGAAGCTATCAAAAGACAAGGAATTTATTTCTTATATACATGCTGAGGTGTGTGAATTGAAAGGACAACATTCCTTTGCGTCTCAATTTTGAACCCAGCTCTTAGAGAAGAAGGCTCAATTAGAGGAAGAGTTATCAGCAGCTAATCTAGCCTTGGATCGAACTGCTACAAAGATACAGATCACCAATCAAAGGCTGGCTGATCAAAGGCAGGATATGGTTACAACCATTTAGTTGTTCCCATCCTTTAGGAGTAGAGAATCAATAGTAAGGGAACAACTGAAACATTGTACTGATTTTTGGGCCAACTTATGGCTGCATGTATACAATTCTGTATGAAATGAAATCCTTATTTATTGTTTAAGTGTTTTGATGTTTTTGTTTAGCATTTTTTACACTACTTGTGTTTCCCACACAGTTGGATAATAAGGTTTCAAGTACCTGTCGTTAATTTTTTTAGGGTACACATATCCATTCAGATTTCTCAAATGGTATGCTCCCCCAGGCAAGACTCTACGAATTTGATATGGACCTTCCCAATTAGATGACTATTTGCCAAACTTATGGCTTTTAATTCCTATTGGAAGTATTGTCTTCCATACCAAATCACCTTAATCAAAACTAATGTGCTTAACCTTCTTATTGTAGCCCTTAGCTGCATTTTCTTTTAGAACAAAATATTATTTAATGCAAGAATTCGAGCTTCATCTATACTCTCTAATTCCAAAAATATGCTTTGATGGTATTGCTTAGAAGCTAATTGGTCCTGGCATTTCACCCTCAAAGACTTAATGTTAATTTCTACAGGCAATACTGCATCATGTCCATATACTAAAGTATAAGGAGTTACTCCTGTATTTGATCTTGGAGAAGTCCTATAAACCCATAATACATCCAACAACAAATTATGCCAATCCCTAAGATTGTCTTCCACAACTCTTTGTATTCCTTTTTTAAGGATTTGTTAGATGATTCTGCTTGACCATTTGCTTGTGCATAATAAGGGGTGGAATTAACAAGACTAATTCCAAAATTTGCTGTGAAAGATTTTACCATCTTTCTATCAAATACAGTCTCATTATCTATAGTTATGGTCTGTGGGATGCCAAATCTGTGGATCAGATCTTTAATAAATCCAATAACCTCAGTTTGATCCACAGCTTTATATGGTTTAGCTTCAACCCACTTAGTGAAGTAATCTGTAGCCACTAAGATGAAACGATGCTGCTTCGAGGAGGGTGGATGTATTTTCCCTATCATATCCATAGCCCAACCTCTAAATGGCCAAGGTTTCACAACTGCATGTAAATCAATTATTTGTACATGTCTTATCATGCCATGTTTTTGGCATGCCTGACAACCTCTAGCATACTCTATATAATCTTTGAGAATGGTTGGCCAATAGTAGGAATGCCTTCGAAGCAACCATCTCATCTTCACACCAGGCTGATGGGCACCACAAATGCCTTCATGAACTTCAGCCATGGTTGTCAATGCTTCCTTCGACCCTAGACATTCCAATAACAATCTATCTGCTCCCCTTTTGTAAAGAGCATTACCATACACTATGTATTGCATAGATTGTAATTTGATCTTTCTGCTGGCTTTCGAAGATAGACCAGTTAGGTACTGGATTATTGGATGCCTCTAATCTTGATCTTGTAATCATTATGATTGACTTCTAACACCACATTCCTTTGAGCTAAATGTGGTATTAATTTTTGATATGTTACTTGACTTATGTTCATTTGATTGTCATCGCTTTTTCTGAAATTCGAAACTTTCTGAGCTACATCATTGACTTTGTTATTCATGAACCTTGAGATATAAGTCACATTTGCCATTTGAAACTGAGAAGACAAATATAATGCAACAACATAGTATGACAACATGCTTGCACTTTGACATTTGAAAAGTCTTTTCAGTTGGTTGACCACCAATTGAGAATCTCTAAATATATCAACTGCATGAGCTTATAATCCAATTAGCATTTCCAGTCCCATTATTAAAGCTTCATATTTAGCTTGATTATTGGAACAAATAGTTTCATCCACTTTGAAATCGTGTGTGGTTTCTACCCCCTGTAGTGACTTAATTACAACACCAATCCCAATCATACCATTGGCCTTTGACCTGTTGAACCACATCTGCCATGGCTCAACATTGATCATACCAAGATCCATTATCTCATGGCTTTCCGTTTGATATGGATGATTTTCTGAAAGTTGACATTTTTATCAACATAGGATGAAAAAGGAGTTGGCGTCTAGCTAACTCAATTAGACACCTATGACATCCCCTATCCAATGCAACTTGACCCCCAAGGGAAGACTCAACCAAGAGTGGTGACTCTAATCGTTCTACTTTTAGGCCCAGTGCAAATGTAAATGTTGATGCTATGAATGAATGCAATGCCCCAGTATCTAACAATACGTTGACCCATGTGTTATAAACAAGATAAGTACCTCTCATCACTGCTGGTCCTGATGACTGTTCGGAAGCAACAACTGCATATACTCATCCTTAGACCCTCTGGTCATCCCATTCACCTCTTCCCGTATTGATTAGTTGTGTTGACTGTGCGGATGTGGTCCCTTGTACTGCTTAAGATGTCTGCCTTGACTGAACTGGCTGATACCCTTGTCTCTGACCTTGGCTTGACTGATAACCTCCGAAATTTTGGGACCTCGAAGTGTTCCCCTTTCCAATCAGGGCAGGATCTTTTAATGTGACCCAATTGCCCACAATAGTAGCATGCAGGCGACTGGCCCCTTCCTTGGGCTGGACTTTGAGATTGAGCTTGTTGTTGGTGACTAAGATTTCGGTTACAATCTGAAGCCTTGTGGCCCTGCTGACCATATCTAAAACAAGTAACAAGATTAGGGCCCGTATTTCCTAAACTTCTCATAGAAACAGATCCTGATGACTTGGTTGGTTGGGGCATAGACTGAGAAGATGAGGAAAAAGAACTCTTAGATTTCTTGGAAGATCCTGAATTTCCTTTTGAGTCAACGTAGTTCGGCCTCTTATGCTTTTGTTTTGCTTCTTCAGCCTCCATCATAATCTCTACATGTGCCGCGGCTTCCACCAACTTATCATATTCCTGATACACATGACCCATCACTTTCATTAATATTTTTGGCCTTAACCTTTTCTCGAACTCGAAACACTGACGTTCTTCAGTAGCCACTAGTTCAGGTGCAAAACGTGCCAAATTGGTGAACATGGCTTCAAATTCCGCCACAGGTGTGTCTAGTTGCCGTAACTCTTCGAATTGCTTCCTCAACTTTTTCCTAGCCGCAAGGGGCAAAAACTTCTCTTGAAAGGCATGAACAAACGCCTCCCAAGTATGCTCCACTCTAAAGCTTAATCGTTTTCCACCATTGATCGGCCTCCCCTTTCAATTGGTACGCCACTAAGGCCACCCTAAGCTCTCCATCATTGATGTCTAAAATTTGAAATGATTTAACAATCTGCTCCAACCATTCATCCACCTTCATAAGATTAGGCTCGCCACTGTACTCCGTAGGGTTAGAGCGAAAGAATTCCTTCTTCAAGAAAGAAACTTGGGTTTCCTCTTCGATTGTCCTTGCCGCTTGTTCAGCTCGAAGGATTTCCATGGATTCAGGGAAGGCACCCGCCATCTCTCGGGCTAGTGCCCCTATGGCATCTTGAGCCGGAGGAACGGCCGCGTTATTTTGTCCTACCCCTTCTTCTTGGGGAGGATGATCTTGTGGTGCCGGCGAGGCCCGGCGACCTTTACGGGGTCTACCTCGACCTCCGCTTCCTCGTCCTGACATCTTATATGAGAACAAGGAGAAGAATTTAACTCTCAACCCATACACGATATATGCAAATTATCATATTACACACACTGGGTAAATGCATCATTAAACAATTAAACCACATAAGACACACCACATACCCCACATAAACACATAAAGCACACACGAGTTACCCTTTCAGGACTCTGACTAGTCCCATGGCACTCAAAGATTTCCTAGTGGAAATAGCATTGATTAGGTGCCTTTCCAAAAGGATTTCAACGATTGCAATGGACACAAGTCGTGTCCTGAGAGTTTTAACTCCATACTTCACACAACCAGAGAAATAGACACACAAAACAATCTACTATTTTCCCTCATCTAACATGACAACCCTATGCGACAGGACCGCTTCCCACGAGCTTCAGGTATTCGACCCGGTTCGCTTTGATACCAATTTGTCACAGACTGAAAAGTTCAACTCATGCAACCATACTACCAGGATTTTCAATGTAACGTCTCCAAAATAATAACATAAATACATCCACAAACATATATATAAATGATAGCATAAATCAAAGTAAATAGTCTTTTCATTACATGAAGTTAATAATACAAGAGTTTGACATAATTAAACGTCCTATTGGCTTACATCTTCCCAAGCCTTAACTTGGTTACACAAAAGGAGACTAGCTCATACACATTTTGCCCTAGGCTTTACAAAAATATACAATTCAAATAAAGAAGCACTTGCTCCCAAAATGTCCCTCCAAGCTATTGCCTTGGTGGAGGTAAGTCACTACCACTTGAAAATGTTATTTCCAAATAAGGTGAGCCACAGCCCAATAGAAATCATCTAGCACAATATATGAAACTTAGCAAAGGTATAAGTACAAGTGCATAAACAATGCATGTGATTAAAACTTTTCACAACTTTATACTCATGAGATATCAACTTCAAGTCTTAATCTACTTACATTCAATTCACATTTCAATTACCTAACTTTCTCAATTCATGAGTCAATTTCATTATTTCTTAACAACCGAACTGAGGCTATAACTCAATAATTTTCAAATCACACAATACATATGTACAAACACTTCAAACTTTTTTTTCACGGATATTTTATCCGCGGGCAGCCGTCAAACGGGACCCATGTAAACGTAGGCTATACAAGCACTACAATTGCCATTTTACGGATATTTCGTTCGCGGGCTAGGTACCCGTGTATAATTTCGGGACTTTCACCTAGGACACTCCTGCCAACTTAATTATAATGGAGTCCATCCCCGTTCTCCTCCTAAACAAACATCCATACATATGCAATGTATTTAAACATATGATCAAACATGAAGCATATCCCATTTCCACTTCCAAAACAAACATACATATGCGATGTATATAAACACGGTCATATTCAATGACAATCATCAGAAGATTAGTTTCAATTCACCTAATCCACATGTAATTTCTACAATAGTCAAAGTTATTCTCCACCGATAGCCCAATACAGTTATCTCTAGACAGATATTCAATTTCAACAGATAGTTTATTCAAAACTTCCAAAAGAATGAGTTAATACATAACCAATTCTATCATTTATATCAAGGCCCTCTCGATTTCACATTTTCAATGTTAATTCCAATTATTTATACAAATAAATAGTTTGACCTAATTAGGGAAACTTCTCTTATTTTTTCCAAATATTAAACAAGTACCAAAATCATCAAATTAGATATAACACAACATCATTGTTAAAACCCCACAAGCATTTATTCCATCTTCACCCAAAACCCCTCTTTCCATTTTGTGCCTAAACCCTAAGTTTGTTTACACCATTGTTACACAAGTGACAAATAACTAAGCTAAATATCATATGAAGGTGTAGAAAGATCCCTACCTCAAAAGAGAAGACGAGCCAAGCAAGAGTGAAACCCCAAGAACGCCGAAAGCCACTTCTATTCTGTTCAAAATGAAGATCTTGACGAGCTCTACCTTTTTCTCAAATGCACTAGGGTGGCAATCTCAATGGATCTAGATGAAATCTAAGAGAGAATATGAATTATAGAGAGAGAAGCTCAAGAACAAACTTTTTGGAAAGTTTTAGAGAGAGAGAGAAGAAAAAGTGATTTAAAATGTCATCTTCTCGGACTGAAATACACGTAGTCCACTCGAGCGTGGAAAGCCCCGTTCGAGCGTCAGACACAAGGTTCCATTTGAGAGTGAAAATGGACACTCGAGCATCCAATGCACTTTCCCAGTATTTTTAGAACTGCAAAATATACTATAGGTTGACGAATCTCGCTTGAGCATGAGAATGACCACTCACGTTTGAGCGTAAGAGAAAATTTGTGAAGCCCGCTCGAGCGCAAGAATGGCCGCTCGAGCGGAGGGGCCAAAATCTGGGCAACAAAGGCTTGGAAAAACAAGTAACCAACCTATCCCAAACACACAACTACAACTCGATAACCAAAATAAAAGGGAAGACAAGGGAAAGAGATAAGAATAACTATCTAAACCATACCAATCCGTGTCCAAAATGCAGTAGGTAACGGGTCAGATACCTCTCAAGCGATGATGCCTATACAGCTAGCATCTTTTTTGTTGGAGTTTTGTTGGGGGCATTGTATTGATGATTGTAATTGTTTTGGGAATGGATGTTTATGAATTAGTGAAAGGTAGAGCATCATGATAAGGAAGATGTCCTTATGAATCTCTTGTGTTAACTTCTCCCTCTTTTCTTTTGAACTGTTTTCTTTCTTTTGTATTCCTATTTTGAGGAGTGCAATAGAATACATATGTAAAACTCTATTTTGGGAATAGTTCAAGAGGAAAGAAAGTTATGTGTAATTGATTCTATTGTTCTATTTGTTTGGATTATGTGTGTTGACTATAGCGATTCTGGTTTTGACCCGTTACCTATTGAAAAATTGTTAGCTTTTGGGGTGAGCACAAGCTCAGTAGGTAATGCATTTAACAAGTTATATAATCATTTGAAAAGCTAACAATTTCGAGGTTTAGATTAGAATTTAATATGCTTTTTGGATATACAGTAATTTATTTTACGCAATATTGGGTGTCCTTAGAGGATGCCCACTTCGGAATTCGTCCTCCTAAGATTTATACATCTCTTTTCTCATTACTTCTAGTAAACCTTGTTTTTACTATATGTTGAGTTACATTTGAATGTCTTGTTCAAATTTGATATTCTAATCAATAGCATGTAAAGCACAATTGTTCGGCTTTTGTATTTTATGCGAAGAACGATAGATTGGCAAACACATTTGAAATTCTATATCACCTCAGTGGAATAATTTGATGTTCATGAACCTTCAAATGTGCCACAACAGAAATGTGGTACACTTTGGATGGGTTAATGTAGTGCTTTCAGTATCTGCTCTGTTTCATCTCTGCAGGGGCGGAGGCAGCATGTGACCAGGGGTCACGTGCCCCCTGGATTTTGGAATTTTTTTTGTTTTTTGTTTTTTTGTAAACATAAAAAAATAAATAAATAAAAAATTACAAAAATATTATTAGAATGAAATGTCAATGACATTTTAAAAATTATGAAAACAATAATGGTTGTTTTGATTGAAAATGAAGAAACTATTATAAATAAACTATATTAACTATGAAATTTTTTGAATGTAACAATGATGTTATTATTAGTGATATGCAAGTATAAATAATCTCACTATAAAGATATGAAATTTATTCGATTGTTAGTTACATTTGACATGTGAGGTTCACTCTTTATGCGTTTATTTACCATTAGTGGGTGATATTGCATACCAATGATGACGTGGTATTACCATTATATTCAATTTTTAATCAAATTTTGTATCAAAAAATAATTTATCATTATATAATTTATTTTAAGGCTTACATCTATATATATATATATATTTTTTTTTGTATTGTCCATGATACACTAGTTACAAACAAATTTTTTTTTTTTTTTTTTTTTATATATTTCCTGAAATCAATCTTAAAAAATTTACATGAAATATTTTTGTAAAAATTATTATAATTAGTAAGTACCCCCTATAAATTAAATTTCTAGCTCCGCCACTGCATCTCTGGATATACTATTCAATTTACTGATATTTCGCTTGTATCCTTTTCAGACCTTCTTATCTCGTGAAATATGATCAGTGTGATGAATTGTTGTAGTGATCTTAATATTTTTATCATTGTGATTGAGAAGTAGTGACAGAGATATGAATATGACTAGCTAGCACCAGTGCGAACAGTATTTACTTGTGAACATATTGAAATATTGTTTTTCTTTTCAGATATGAAAACCCAATTGTTGGTTCTAGTTTCTCAGTGATCTTGCTTTTTAAATGGTAAAAAGTTTTTAAAAAAAATAAAAAAAAATGTTGTTACATATGGAGAAGAGTATGATATCTTTCGTGTTTATTTTTTCCACCTATTATGAGAGTTGTACGTAGTTTATTTCTTCTCAAATTTGAGATATTTTCTTGTGGTAATTGTTGGGCTAGCTGTAAGTAGTTTATTTCTTCTCAAGTTTGGGATATTTTTTTTGTGGTAATTGTTGGGCTTGTTGACTGTTACTTTCTAATTATTGTTGGATTTTAATTATGTAGGTTAATGTAATTCTTTTCATATTTGTAAAAAATAAATAAATTAATTAAGTTCATGGGTATATGTTCTTTTAAATTGTTACCTCCAGTCTGTAATTTCCTGGTACGTATAATAATTATCATTATCTTTTCTTTTTGGTACTTTATATGAAAAATGGAATTTTATAAGAACCATATGTGAATTTTGTACGATTTGGATGACAATCTGTAATTTTTTATTCAAATTTGGAACTTTAGAGATGAATTTGACAAGATCAAAAGTTGGGCCAAAGTGATACATAACTATATTTATATTTTGTCTAATGTTAATAAATCCAAGATTAATTGGGCTTATGATTTTTAAAGTATACATTTTTTTGCACTATAAAATTTTAACGCTGCATTTGGTTGGAGAATTTGGAAAAAAGGTTTGAAGACGGAAAGAGAAA